TACATTTTTAGATAAAAAACAGATTTTTTTTTTTTTTTTTTTTTTTTTTTTTTTTTTTTCAATTCTAACATTACATTAAACAGTATTCTCTCAATAATCTGAAATTCAACGAGAAGAAAACTTTTCAAAAAGCTGACTTCTTCATAAAAATTCTCACTTCTCATGAGACACTAGTTTTTCTTTCACTTTACTACGATTTAGTATTTTGAACATTTTAAATTTAATTGTTTTTAATTTATTATATTTTCCATGCTTATAACTCAGAGAGTAAGGAACAACATGTACGGGTAAATCTTCAACAATGTAAGACTATTTCAGAAAAAAATTTTCAAACAGGAAATTAATTTAGTGCTTTAGAGTCTTACATATTGATAGAAATTAAACATGTTATTCGGCATTCATTAATCGTCCTGGTTTAATATTTTAAGTATTTACCCCTTGACAAGCTGTGCTTGAAGTATTAAGCAAGGATGATTAATTTATTTTAGTTCATTCTTTAATTTAAATGTTTACACCACTGTTTAAATATTTTTGCTTTCCTAACAAAAGTTTGGTTTCCAATCTAGGCTACAAATATTTTCATTTTTAAATATACCCACGCTATAAACAGACCTACACACAATTTCCTTTGATAGGATAAAACAATTAAAAAATAACTTATTTTTTTACTTAAATATATAAATATTAAATTCATTACTCGAATTTTTTTCTTCAACTATATATTATATTACATCAGATTTCTAAAAAATATAAGATTAAAATTAAATACAAGATATTAAAACCTCAATTCACTTCAAAATCAGTAATGCAACAATTTAACCTTTCAATTACTATATATAAGAAAATAGTATTTTGGATTACTAAAATAATTTTAAAAAAATTTCCCTTCCATAGCAAGAACAATGAATTGTTTAGTATGTGGCATAGAAGAGCAGAAAATGCGCAGTTAATTTTTGCATATATATTATCATAACTTTATTAATTAGATCACTTTTTAAAGCTTCAACTATATATTTTATCTTTAGGGAAAAGACCTTCATATTAATAGTTTGTTAGCAAAGTTCACATATCTCCTACCCCCCTAAAAAAAAAACCTCTATTAAAAATTTCCGATATTTGAGAGGTAAATACAAAACATCCAGAATTTCTGTCTGAAAATATTTTCTCAAATTACAAAAGAAGACTTTAAAAAGTAATATTAAAAACAAGCCAAAAAATTATTCGGATTTTTAGTTGCCCAAAAGGGCTATTTTAAAGTATAAAAAATGGTTTATCAATAGACACTATCACTCGAGATGGTGGAATAGCAAAAAATTTTGACGGATACTGGATGAAGATACATTTAAATTAACATGGGAATGCTACATATCTTATGCATACTTTTTTTAAAAAGCAAAACAATATGTAATGTAATTTGATAAAAATACTTAATGTTTTTAATTAGACACATCAGGAATTAAATGCATTTTCTTTTAAAGCAATCAAGAGTTAAAAAAATAATAATAGCCGCATGTGTTGCGGCATGGGTGTTTGTTAACCAACAGCAGATAACATTAGTTTCGAACGATACAAGACAGAAAAGTATAAGAAATCTTGCATTTTGTTGAATGGCAAGTGAAGCAAGGCCCACCTCCCCCCCCCAAAAAAAAAAATTTTTTTTAATACTGAAAAATGGTTGCAGTTTCTTACTTCTCTCTCCCCCCCCAAAAAAAAAATAAAATCCTCAAAATAAATCAAACAGCATTTGAAACAAAAACAAAAGAACTTCGTTTTTCTCATAAAACACCACTCCTAAAAAGCACTTAATAAGGTTCGGTTGAACTAGAATTTTGTTATATTATATGGCAATTTCAATTCAAGAATGCGCAGAGTAATTTCCAGCTATGCACTGTATTAATACATTCCATTATTCTGTCATGAAACATTAACTCCAGCTTTAAGAGTATGCTTGATATACAAAATCACTAATTTATGTTCTTCATTGTTTCAGTATTTAAATTGCATTAAACACTTAAAAAACAGAACAACAACTTTTGCAACAAATAAAATATTTAACCTTTTTGCGATTTCTTGATTGATTTACAATGAACAAATAAAGCATGTGTGAATCAGATTATCAACATATATGTATGGTGATTGCCTCACATACAATGTTTCCATGGTCAAAATTAAAACCTCAAATATTTTATCTTGTGGTGGAAATTAACTATCCTTACCGATATTGAAACAATGCAAAATCCTCATAAGAATTGAAAGAAACAGGGGGAACAAAATGATGAACTTTTCTTCAGTAATTACTATAAAACAAGTTCAAAACAGCAAAACTTTCAACACAAGTGGAAATATGAATCAAGACACTGACACAAGATTTCAGACACTGAGAGTTTACTGCACTATAGAGATCAAAAATAATACAATACCTTCTCAATTTTAAATAAAACTCTTCATTATATTAGAAAGCCTGAGTTTATAAAAATCAGACAAATATATGCATTTAAAAATACAGAGATTCAAATCAATATTTAAAATCAGACAAAACACATATCAATATCTAAAAATACATAGATTCAAATTGATATTTAAATTCAGACAAAACAGGTCAATATTTAAAAATATAAACTTTTAAAAAGGTCTCTTTAATATTACAAATGATATAGAATACCCAGGGTAAAAGAAATGTGAAAATACTTATAATTTCGACAAAAAGGGAAAAAATTTTTAAATAAGTTTATCAATAGACACTATCACTATTTTACTAGCAAGTTCAATCTCTGTCAATAATAATTACAAATAAAAAAACTTTATTGTTGTTTTAAAACTTATATTATCAAATAATAAAAATAGTCTTGAAATAAAAGTGAAGATTATTTTCCATCTAAGAAACTGTGTAAAATGTGACTGCAATTTGAAGTTTTTAAATTACATAATTGATCCACCTCATTTAATTGAAATATAAAGTTTGATATAGGTAGTTATAAACTGCTCTATGGAATTAAATGATTTTGAATGTAACAAGACCATGGAAAAATGAAGCTTGTTTTCAAATACTGAATGTGATTTTTTTTTCTATATTATGTAAAAAGCAATTTAAAGTTAATCGCTTTTAATCACTAACTAATCACATTTAATGCTGAATGTGAAATTTTTCCTACATTACCATAAAGTTTAAAGTGATTTAAAGTTCATTTTGATAAGCATACAAAACCATTAATGCAATAACAGCATGTTAAAATTTTATTAATGATCTATGTAACATTCATTAAATGATTTAAAAATAAGAAACTGTTTATTCCCATATTATTTTTAGCCTACAAATGACAGATAGGGGGAAATATACAGGAAAATTTTAATACCTGAAAGTTTCTGGAAACAACAAATATCAAAGGAAAATAACAAAATAACTTTCTTTAGAAATAACTATGAAGTAACTTTCATTATTAACAACAAATTAAAATGAAATCATGAATTAAATGAAAAAATGTTATAACCATTCTTATATACTATAAAATTACATAATTTACCTTCGGAAGCAATATGAAAGGCTTCATGATTTTAAACAGATTTTTACCATTACACTCATATTTAATTGAAACAATAATTAAAATACATATGTACATGTATAGAAACTTGTATAACATATAACATTAACATTTCAAATAATTTTGAATGATGCACTGGAAAAATAAGGTCACTTTCCCCTCCGTGTAATAATTAAAGCAAATATGAATTATCAAACGTGGGAGGGAATGAACATTACACATTGTAAACTGCACTTTTTAAAACTATATCTTTCTTTAATATTTACATTTTAACACAAAGACACCATACAATTGAACCTCAATTAATGCTTCTTATGAAATATGCAGCATGACAGTATGAACACAGAACTTTACTTTTATATTTATATGACAAAAAGTGCTTTTTATTTCATATGTAAAGAAATTAATAAATTAATTTGCAAATTTATTTAAAGAAATTTGATTAACAAAATTAATATACATAACAAAAAAAACAAAAAAAAAAAAAAAAAAAAAAGCAAAGGATTACAAATTTCCCGATTTAAAAGGATCTCGGTTTTATGGCTACAGTGGAAGAGCATTATCAAATTTCAAATCTATCAGCTGCTTCACAAATATACAATTTCTAAATTCATCTCTAACCCCCTACAAAAAAATATTGGTATTTTACATAAGAATAAGTGAAGCAAAAGATATTTAAGATATGGCAAAAAGACACCATGGCTTTAGAATGTTAATATGATTGCCCCTCAGAAAAATAATCTTTGTGTGACAGAAATATTGGCAGTATTTTTAACATCCAAAGTATATACGCAAAGCATTTTGTACTGAAGTTTATATAATATTTTAAATTGAAGCATTGAAGTATATTTAAAATAAAGTATTAAAGGAAATAAAATATTTAAGTATATTTTTAAAGTTTTTTATTTAATTTCTTTTTCTCTTATATCAATAGCCTATGGAACCGTAGACACCATTCAAGAAATGGCTACCATAAATTTCAATAAAGTGGTATGAAAAAGAATGAAAGACATTATCAGATTCAGCACTTTAAAATTCATTGCAAATTTCACAAAATATTTGTACAAATTTAAACTAAACAGAATCTACAATTTATTAAATTTTAAAAATAAAAGATATATTAATGAAACTGATTAATAATAATTGCATTTAAACAATGTAAAATATAACATATTTTTTCAACATTCCTCAACCCTGTTTTCCAATGAGCAATTGTTTACTTCTATATCTTAAAAAAGGTTTTCTTGGGAAGTTTTAAGGAACAACTAAGAGTGAAATGTTACTTACACATCCAACTTCTTAAAACTTATCCCTGCATGTTTTTTGCTCCATAATTTTAATTTATAAAATAATCGGAATTAACAAAGATTTTTACTTTTAATTCATTAAGTCTCCCTTTTCCAATTATATATTATTCTTAAATATTGTGTGACACATCACTGCCAAAATAACTGAAATACATAATTTTTATGAGGTTTATTTTCCTTGTTTTTGCTTATAAATATCACCTTATACATAAATATAACTTTTAAATACTAGAATGAGCACTTTTTTGTGCAATCAGCTATTCTTGTACAGCTTGTACAATGAAATTCAGTGTGCTATATTTTTTGTTTTGGTAAAACAAGAATAATGTTTTTACTGTTACCAGTGAAATAACACTGAAAAAATAGCACAAAAGGAAAAATAAATATAATCTGAAATATAAACTAGTTGAAAAGGAACTGTTGTTTGCACACAAAATTTTTCCATAACTCATATATATTATGTGCAAATGAAAATTTTCAAAGTACTTTGAACTAATTTTTTTTTACATGGTATTTTATAATCGTTTTAATCTTATCCTGTTACCCACCTTTGGATCACAGAGACAAATTTTGTAGTTCTTTTTGCATTAAAAAAATTCTTCCATATTGAACTGCGTCCATGAAGTTTAATTGCTGTGCACTTTTTCAATCTGTTTAAATTTTCCATGGCTTTTATTGTTGACAATACTCTCCTACATGCAAAAATTCATTATTACATGCAAATCAAATTATTTATTATTCAAATTATTATTATTATTCAAACTACACGCAAATCAAAATAGCTGGAAAAAATTAAAGTAACGTGATTTTGAAGCAATTAGCAGTAGTAGAAAATTCAATTTACATCATGAACGGTATTCAGCAAAAAGTGCACATCGCAAGCTATATTTGTAAAGCTTGAATGGTCCCTCCAATGCACAAAAAAGTGCTCAGTTGAATTCCATACAAATAATAATAATCTATACATAAAAATCTTTCTTGAGAAAATTGTCTTCTCCTTTTCACTTATATCAAGATATACTAGCAATAATGCCATATATGAAATAAAACAATTAGGTACTTTTTTTCATGGAATCCGGGTTTGAGAAATACAGTACTTACATATTACTCCACTGACCGTAGTTGCCAAACAGCATATTTAATGCCATTTCTGGATAAGTATGATGTCACAACACACTGATGACATTTGCACTTTTGTTTATGTAAACTTAATTCTCACTGAACCACCTTTTGTTTTCATGCACAAAGATATTAATTTATTGTTATTCCTGTATGATTAAAATGAGCATGGTTAAAAATAAATATGATTAAAAATTAGGGACCTAACTTTCACAGAATAGCAAGCAGTAGATTATTTTAAAAGTTATTGGATCCTACCATAAAAAAAAAGTGTGTATTAATGGACATATGGTACTTTAATTGAAAATGGATAAACAATGGCAATGCACTATGAAAAATCATGATTAAGAGAATATTCATTTAAAAAGAATGTGGTTTGAGGGCTGTAAAATCATATTTGTGACTGAACTCGAATTCACTTATAGCTTGCCTGCAGAATTAGCATCTATTAAATGGTAAAAAGAACCACAGGATATGGCTAACAAAACAGTACCAGATTAGAAGAAGCATTCATGGGAAGTTTGTACTTGATGCAACCCAAAATAAGCTTCAGAAAATTTGGAAGGCCTAATAAAATAACAGAGATTAATGAAAGCATTTTTACAAAGCACAAAGTTGAAGCAGGTCGAATACTTCCTCAACAATGGTTATTTGAAACTGTGCAGAAAGAAAGATGAATTTTTTATTGTAAGAATTCAAGATATAAGTGCAGCCCTAAATTCTGTAGAAATAATTACAACTTTTATGGAATAATATATGGTGGAATATCTACTAACTTTTATGGTTCAATGATAGCCAACTTTCACGACAGCTGGAACAATATGCAAGTACCAGAAATACTATGTACACAAACATATATATATATATGCACATCTCTTACATATTAACATTTTAATAGGATTATTATAATAGTATTAATTATTTAATAGTATTAAAAGGATAAAGGGAAAAATTTATGTTCTTTAATAAAAGTGAATATAATAAAACAAAACTACAATCATAAAAGTAGAGCAAGAAAGTACATAACTGACCATGAGAAATATGTAAATTATGCCACTAAAAATTATTATTTTAAGTTCCTAAAGCTAGTAATTCAGAAGTTCAGTTTCAAACATTATTCAGGTTCTTTTGTGCATTCACCTAAAAATCATACACAATAATTAGATAGTTTTTCATAATGAAATGTTGCACTATTAAAATAGAATAAAATTGGCAGTAATCATTGATAAAATTACACAGAAAATTAGAACACAAACAGAACACAGAACAATTATAACACAAATAGCCTTAAATAAAACGAGTTACACCAAAGAAATAAATGTCATACATATGTTTTTCTGTACTTGATAACACATATAATGGTATAAAATTATAGAAAAAAAACAAAAAAACATAAAAATGTTATTGTGCATTGGATAACAAATGACAGCAACTCTAAGAGCAAAATCAAACAAAAAATTTTTACTTAAATATTTCATTTATTTAATTGCTGCATCTAAATAGATTCTGAATTAATCAGAATCTGAAATTTTTACATAAAAAATATTTACTGCATTTATATTAATTATGATCAACAGCATTCAGTTTAATACTTTTTCTTACTGCTTCAACTTTAAGTCTCCCACGCATGCACATAATACTAATACATACATAATTCAAAATTTGAATGAAAATACATATTTGGATTATCACAAAAACCACTAAAGTATGTTTATGTGTATTACCTGCCATGATTTAAAAGAATTCATACACTGCATGTTGAAATAATCTCGAAAATTAAAAGACTTTGAAAATATTAATTTACAACTGAAACCTCTAAATAAAAAATGCATTTTGATTCTAAATCTTTTAAAATATTTGGTTGTTGAATTTCAAATCTTAAAAATAATAATAATAATTTAGAATAAAGAAATTCTAGATTTTTGATTTCGCAAAGTTATACCATTTTAGACAATTAAAACTAAAAAGTATTAAAATACAGATCTGTGCTAAATTTAATCATGAAAACCAGTTCCTATTTATATATAAGCAAAAATACTACAAAATTTAACATTAGAAAATGCTAAACATAAATGTCATTCTATTTTATAAATTCATTACTATTTTTTTATGTACATTCAAAACCTTTAAATAACAAATTATTACCAATTAATAGCAATGGTTGTAAAATTTAGAATTATTTCAAAATCACAGAGCAACTACAGTTATGCGTGGGTTTCAATTTTTAGTTATATTCAGCTTCTTAATTATTCATATAAGGGCTAAGATTTATTTATATCATCTCATATAACAAATAAACAATTTTCAGCATCTTTAAAACTGATTTAAAAAAGAAATATACTTCTATTTCTTATTTGGCTAAATTAATTAAAGAAATAAAGAATGAGTAAATAATCAAATGTGAAAAACTCCTCAATAATTGAGGAGTCTTTCATATTTGATTACTTCATATATGATATGTTTCATAAATTTCACACACACACACAAAAAAAAAAAATAAATAAATAAATAAATAAAGAAATAAAATAAAAATAAATAAAAAAAAATCTGAAATTTTCAAATTTTAAATTACGTCAAAGGGGCGTTTTTTTTAACGTTTTGAGTGTTACCTTTATTTATTAAATATCATGTTCTTTGCACTTAAACCATAAAATTCAGTTCAACGAGCAATATCGCAAAATAATGTTAAATTAAGCATATCTTTAGAATTTCCGATTACACAGTCTCGCGAGCTGGAGATAAAAGTATTTTTTTTCTATATAACGTTGCCATTTCTCGCTTTTAAAGCATTGAGTTGTAAATCAAAAATTCGTTAAAGTTTTACAAAATATAAAATCTATAATAAAACAAATTCAAATTTGGGATTTCAGATGCCCATATTCGCAGTAGGATTCGTCATTCAAAATTCAATGGCTCTATATGTACCATTGTTTTTATCACAATGCGAGAAATAGACAATCATTTATGCAGATTTTTCATATTTAATTTCTTCAAATATAATGCAGGACTCTAACATTTTGTGGCAACAGTTTGAAAAGTGAACCAACGTTATGAGTCCGACGCAAAAATGCCAAAACGAAGCAATAGTCCTTCGGGACTGAAATCCCTTTGGACTAAAAAAAAAAAAAAAAAAAAAAAAAAAAAAAAAAACAGTGAGAGAAAGAAAAGATTTTTTAAACTCTCATTCCACCCAATACACATTTTATCTGCCGACTAATGTTCTGAAGTGAGTTAAAAAACAAGAATTTTAATTAAGACAACTGCCAATAAAAACAGAAATTCTAAAATATTTGTTTAAATTAGTATTTTTTATGCTTACATATTTTAAACTGCACATTCATATCGTGGACCTTTCCTCCATTTTTAAGTTATCATAAGTTATCCTTGAAGTTATGCAAAAATAAGTTATTTACTGCATGTATTTCAGAATTATAAATTTTAAGCCACTCAGATGTCAACCTTATTTCAAGAAACATTTTGTTTAGACGAATTACAAAGGCACAATGTGAACAAACTGCATTGCATTAAATCTAGGTAATTATAACAACAAAATGATAGCTGCTGAAAACATAGTTTAACTAAAACAAAATGACAGTATAATTGAAATATATAAATAAATAATATGTAGAAAATCTTAGTCAAAATCAGAATTACTATCAGATTCTAAGTCCGAATCTTCAGTGATAGTACGAATACGCTTCAATGTTGCTTGAAGAACTGAACTGAAATCAACACATTCTGGACCTTTCTTTGCTTTGGACTCATTAGAATCTAGAAGAAAAAAGGCATGCTGTTACACTTCAAAATAAACAAATAAAAATCCATTATTGTCTAATGCATAAGGTAAACTAATATAAGATCAATTTATTGTGCATTTATTTCTACACATCATAAAAAGCTTGTAATGGATCACATAAAAATAAAATAAAAAAAGTAATTTATTTCATCCTAATAGTTTTTTTTTTCCCCTTTTCAAAAATACTTCTCAAGGTCAAGCAGCAGTATAACTAAATGATTAAAAAGTAGTGACAGCATACTTATCAAAAGTGGTATTCCACATATCAGAAATCAACATAGTTTATCTTCAACCACATTAAGTTAGTATCTTCTCTTTCAGTTAGTTAACAGTAAGTTAGTGTCTTCTCTTTTAAGCAAGAAAATCATGTCTAAGTCAGAATTCTGTAAAACACAAATAGCCTTAAAAAATCATGACCCATTTTCAATCATTACTGAAAATTTGATTTCAAGTTCGGTCAATTGCTGAAAGTGAAATAATCTGCAATTAATAGTGTAAGTTTATCACATTATTTTGAATTGAAGCAACATTTTTTTTTTTTTTTAAGTCTTAAATTCTTCAATATTCCTTTTTAAAATTCGCATTATTGCAAAATTTTCTTATCATATTTGTTTCAAAAAAGTATATGCAATTAAAATTTTAATTGGCTCTTAGTTTGCCATCAGAAATAGAAATACATGTTAGAAAAGTTGCTGAAATGGTTAATTTCAAACATTTAAACAGTTTTTGATGCAACAAAATTTCAATGAAAGCATCACAAAAACCAAAACGAACAAGACTTGGAAAATCATCAAAACTGCCCTTTGGAATCCAAACATATTGTTGCAAATATTGAAATAAACACAGATCAACTTACAACAGAATTTAATGAGTCATGTGAAGCACCTGATTATTCTAAACACTATCTAATCTGATGAATTGAGAATCCAACAATTATCCAATCTTCAGAACACCAATCTTTGAATAAATAAATTTGACGTAATGACATTTTCCTTCTAAATCTCTGAAAAGTAACATTTCTGAATGCTGGAATTGACATAAAGTAATTTCATAACATTCATTACTACAGTCAATTAGGATGGAGGTTATGACAGTCAATTAGGTACACCTAAATAAGAATTTCAAAAACACAATTTAATTCCTATAGTAGAGCCATCAAGAGAGTAGAAACACTAGGCTAGTCCTCTAACATTTTATGCACTAATGATCTCAAATATATTTTCACCAAACCAAAATTTTAGAGGTTAATATTATAATATTTGTAAGTTGTAGAGTTAAGCTCTAAAAATTTTTTTACAGGATTCCAGGGCGCTCCCCGGGGAAGCGATTAGAAATACGATTTGTATGCGATTGAAATGCGATATTAATGTGCAAAATTGATATAATTTTGAATATTTGTTTCACCTGTTCATTCGTGCTTTCCCAGTGCTCGGGTACCTTGGCAAGGTCGGGGGGCTCCCTCTCCAAGGAGGGTCGAAAGCCTGAGCAAAAGTGCCTACTACTTACTGACTTGGTGTGAACCCCAGGGTACCAGGTCGGTCTACAGACCCAGTGCATCTTATTTAGTTAAGCGTTGAATAACTCTACCTACATCAAAATGAGTTCTAAAGACATTCTCAAAGAAGGACAGGCATATATTGCCACCTTAGAGACAATATTGACAAATTCTGGCATATTCTGGCATAAACAAGGCAGTAGCCGCTGATATTCGACATCAATTTCAATTGATGTTCAACCTTCTAACTGAACAGTGTGTCGAGATGGCACACATGGAAGGACAAATTCATCAAACGCCAAACATTAAAGACTCTTATGCGGACGTACTTAAACGTCCAGCTCGTGACCGATCCAAAACATGGAGAAAACCAGATAAACAACATGTCACTATTTTATACCCCACAAATGAAGGGGATAAACCAGACAACATCAGAAAGAAGCTCTTAAAAACTATTGATCCCACAAAGCTCCACATTGGAGTGAAAAGACTTAAAAATGAGGCAAAAGGTGGTCTCTTAATAGAGACCAATAAAGCGGAAGACATAGAGACGCTAGAAAATGAAATAAATACTGTACCAGAACTTAAAAAGGACCTACAAATTGTTCGTCCTACACGTAGGCTTCCTAAAATTATAATATATGATATTCCAAGGGACTTGACTAAGGAAGAACTTAAGGAAGCCATTTTAGCCCAAAACGAAGGCATCGATGGTGATGGCCTACAGGTTAAATTTCCTATCAAGCATAAGAACAGAAATCATTGGGTTTGTGAAACCTCACCGGAGGTTTTCAAACACTTACTAAGTTACGCAAACTGTGCGTTAATTGGGAACGTTTCAATTTAAGAGAATACATCAGACCAACGCAGTGTTTTAAATGCTGCCAATACCGACATATTTCTAAACAATGCCAAACAGAAGAGGCATGTGGACATTGTGGAGAAGTGGGACATTCCCACAAAAATTGTGACAATAACTACCAAAGATGTATTCATTGTGCAGAAAGAAATGCGAATAGTGATAAGCACCTTGACGAGCAGCACTCAAGTTTCTCAAAAGACTGTCCTAGCAGACAGCTAGAAATTGAAGATCTTCGAAGAAAAATCAATTATGGCTAGAGAACTTATTCAAAATATAAAAGCGTTGCAAATTAATTTAGCGAGATCACATGTCGCAACAGCACAACTAAAGACTTGTATCTTTGAATACGACTTGATTTTTATTCAAGAACCATACTGTATCAATGACAAGCCGTCTGGCTTTCCGACTCAAACATTTTTTCTCCAAATGACCACCCCAAAACAGCCACAGTGGTGGTTAACCCACGACTTACGGTTCTGAATACTTACGCTTCTTCTACTTTAAATGTTATTACATTAAAGATTGAACATAGGACAATAACCATTTTTAACTGTTATACTCAACCTATAACGGACTTAACAGATTTAACTACTCTGTTAAACTTAGCTGAACGTTACTTTGACGATCAACATGATCTTCTTCTCCTTGGCGACTTAAACGCGAAAAGTGTGCTCTGGGGCTCCCCCTTCAAGGATCCCAGAAAACGCACACTTAGAGAATTCTTAACAATGCATAGACTGGCTGTTGAAAACGATCCGGATGGTCCCCCTACCTACAACTGCACAAGGGGAAAGAGCTGGATTGATATTACAGCTTCCAGATCAATCTCTTCCACGTCTTTCATTCATAATTGGAAAGTTATGGACTGTATCACTTTAAGTGATCATTGTTATATCTCTTTTGAAATTACGTATCAACATTCTAGCTCAACTCAAAGAGTCAAATATAAACTTACACAAATGGATTGGCTCTTACTGAAGGCAAAAATTGGTCACTTTTTTGGTTCAATGGAATCTTACTTGCCTAAAGATACAGTTGATCTTAATCAACTTATAATTAAGTGGACTCAGAAAATACAGGAATACTGTGACTTGGCAACCCACGCCAAGGGAAAATATGTTAAAACTCAACACAAAGGTGTCCCTTGGTGGACCCCGGAACTCTCAATATTACGAAAAAGAATCCTCGCTTTGAGAAAGCGTTATCACAAATGTATTCATGATGACGAACTAAGGGCACACACTATAAGCAAGTCTATGAAAAAGACCTTGCTCTCTATAAAAGAAAGCTTATGCAAGCCAAAAGAACAACCTGGAAAAGATATCTGGAGCGTCTAAGTCCTAGTTCACCCTTCGGGGTACACTATGACATTGCTAAGGGGACTATGCAATCCCCTCTACAATTAAAAGCGTTACTCAAACCAGATAAAACCAAGACTTCCACAATAGAAGAAACTATACGTTTCCTAATGGATTACCACTTTCCTAAAGATATAATCAGCGAAGACACGGAGTTTCATACGACAATTCGTAACAACTTAAGGAATCCATATAATTCAATAAATGATGTTCCGTTTACGATTCCAGAAGTGGAAAATGCTATCAAATCCCTCAATCCAGGCAAAGCACCTGGAATGGACAATATATCTAAAGAAATTATAGCTGAAGTTTTCTATGCTAACCCACAATTACAAGTAGCGTTACTTAATGAACTCTTCCGTCGAGGAATATTTCCTAACTGCTGGAAGACAGCGAAATTAGTATTATTCTCAAAAGAAGGAAAAAATGGTGAGCTTCCTGATGCTTACCGCCCTATTTGCTTGCTTAACGCATGGAGTAAAGTCTATGATAAATTAATCACTAACAGATTGACTTATTTCTTAGTATCGAATTCCAAATTAAGTGAACAACAATATGGCTTCACGGCGGGAAAATGCTCAGCAGATGCCATCAAGGACAACATAGTCTCACAAATAGAAGCAAACCGACGTAATAATAATTACACCAACGTTATCTCTTTGGATATCAAGAGTGCATTCAACAATATTTGGTGGCCGTTCCTACTACAGGAACTCCGCAATCTGGGATGTCCTCTAAATATTTATAAAGTTATTGAAAGTTTATTGGATAATAGACATATAATCTATGAAATAAATAATGTTCAATACTCCATAAAACAAGAAAAAGGATGTGTACAAGGATCCAACTCTGGACCACTATTCTGGAATATAGTAATGAATATAGCTTTAAAACTCGAATTTGAAGATGGAATCCACATCCAAGCTTATGCGGACGACGTTTCACTCCTAGTAACAGGATCTATGCATATGCAAATTCAAACCAAGGCAAAGTTGGCGCTTCAAAAACTATCAGAATGGGCACTCAAGTGCAAACTTCAATTCTCTCCCGAAAAGTCAAAGTCTATGTTTATAGCAATCAAAAAGCGTGGTGCAGCCTATTCAGCACCGACAATAAAGATGAACGATCATACCATTAAGCAACAAAAATCCATTCAATATCTTGGAATAGTCATAGATAGATGAATGCCTTACCTGGCTACCTCATCTAGATTATATTAAATCTAAAGTTTGTAAAATAATGAACAATCTTCTTAGATTACTTGGGA